GTGAAATCCTCTAACTACTAATGATGTGAACTCTGCTAAACAAGTCGCCGATGTCTTCCATCAAAGATCGTCAGCCACGTCCAATCAAATAATTCTGCCCTTGCTTAATTGCAATTACACCTTCATTACAGAGGAGTCAGGAAAAGGAGAATTACTAAATTCATTCTTTGCCAATCATTTTGCCGTTGAAACTGACCTCATCCTTTCAAATCCTCCGTCGTCTAATGTCTCCCTCATCATCATTTAGTTTGCGCCTGCGAATATTCGGAAACCGATAAGCCGGCTTCCTAACTTACACTCAGTAGGAACGGATAACATCTCGAACTCTCCCATTAAACAGCCAGGAGAATTTCTGCCTCTGCTTAACAAACTCTTTTCAGTCTTCCTCAAAAATGGTTTCTTTTCTCATTTGTGAAAAACTTCCATTATTATTATTCAAGTACTTAAATCTGGCTGTCATTCCGATGTTCCAAACTATCGATGTATCCATAGGACATATCCTCTCGCCAAAATATTTGAAGAAATTGCTGCCATTGAAATTACGGACTTTTAGACAGATAGATAGATAACTTTTTAGTAAAGACCCGTCGGGGTCCCATCAAAGCAAGTTAAAATAAATTTACTTGCGAGTTTTAGACGAGGTAGGCCGAATCTTTACAAAATGCAATTCATAGTTTCTGGATTAGTAGTCCATTGAGAAACATGATGATTGAGGGGTGAAAAAAAACTCCACACAAAAAGTTAAAAATGATTGGATTAATTTTACAGGAGAAAAAACCCCTCAATAAAAATAATGACAAAAAAACGAGCAAGACTGGCCTGTAGGTGGCGGTATATAACGGAATGTTGTCGGTCATCGTCAGGGTAGCAATAAATCTCAGCCTTGAGGGGTACGTATGCGGGTCAGACAGGACTGGCCTGCATGTGGTATTGTATACGGGATTCAGAACTGACATCGTCTGGACCGGAGTGATACGCCGCATGAGACTATTCGCGTCCAAGAGGCCAGACGAGAGGAACCCAGATGCGATCGGCCACAGCACGCTTCGAGCTCAGTCGAGCAGTGGGAAAGGGAGGTACGACCAAACTACTAGTAGACGGTGAATACTGAGGGTTCCGCCGTGAGCGTCGACAGACCGCATGAGGTCGGAATGCGGGAGATGACATCAAAAACCGCGAAAATTGTCGCTATGGGGGGGGGAGGAGTGATAGCAGTGGATTTGAAAACCAATTCGAAACAGGGGTTTCAAATGATATAATTAAGAGTTACCACTTAATCTACCACTAAATCCCAGGAGGGCCCTTCTCGAAGTCAAGAATCTGAGTGTTCGGGAATGAGACCGTTAACAATGCCTTTATGCTTTCCGGTGTAAGATGTTTGCGTAATTTCGACTTGAATACCAGTAACTTAGGTGATAATCTAATTTCAGACGGAAGATTATTCCAAAGGAAGGCATATTTGGAAGCAAAGAAGAGAGAGCGCTTAGATGTAGTACAAAGAGGCGGTGGAATCACCATGCAGGAGTTGCGCGTGGCATAAGACCGATCTCTTGGAGTGAGAGTGTCAATGAGCGGAAGACTGGAGTTAGAGTTGATGCGAAAAAGGAAGCAAAGGCCAGCTTCGAGTCTTCTAACCCACAAAAACTTCATGTTCGCCAGCTGACATCTCTGAGTATAAGAAATACTGGACGAAGCTTGAGAGAACAGTTTCCGGGTGAAAACCCTCTGAACATTTTCGATTTTATTACGGTCGCAGGCGTTCATTAAACCGAAGAAAGGACAGCAGTATTCGAGGATTGGAAGAAGAAACATTTGATAAAATCTTAACTTCATTTCCGGAAGGAAAAAATTATGCGATATGAATCCACATATCTGCGCGGCTTTGGCAGAGATTCTATCTGAATGAGGGGATAAAGCAAGCTTATTTGTATAACTTAGACCTAGGTCCTTTATGGTGAGGCATTCTGAGAGTGGGTTATTCTGAAAAATTATGGGACCAGGAAGTTTGGCAGGACCAAAAGACATGAAACTACACTTGGATGACGAAAACTCCATCTGCCATGTCGAACCCCATCTGCTTAAGCGTAGTAAATCGGCATTTTTTCAACGCAAACATTTGCGGTGTCCTTAGAGTGTGAGTAAACACACTTGAGGTCATCGGCATAAGTAAAAGACAATCAACTTATCAGCTCTTTCTAACATGGCTTTCTAGTGGGACGTGTCACATGTCGTTTATCAATCTGCTTGCTTCTCTTCGCAATAATCACTCATTTGCGGTCGTTATTTATTTTGCCCTAGCAAAGCCTTTGTCTTATCAAAAACGTATATCGGGGAGTTTAGAAGCTTAAAATGGCGTCAGGTATTCTTTCCGCCTGAAAAGCTATTTTGCTTAATGAGATAAAGGCCGATGTGGCAAAGTATGCTGGGCACTTATCCGCTTGAATTTAGATTATGACATTCAGGCCTCAAGAAATTGGTTGACAAAGAATTGTTAGTTGGTAGGCGAGATTCCGAAAACAAAGCCGTAAATTCCGAAATGCTTCAAATTCCCTTTACCCGACTGCCGATTTGTAGAGTCGTATCTACATCCGTCATAATAAAGGCGGGTCTGAGGGGATATGGTGCGGACCAGCTGAATTTTGGGGGATTGTAAATTCGTTCTGTGGTTTGGTGCTTTCTTCTCACTGGTCGTGACAAGAGTCGTACGAGAGAACTTTATCGAGCGTTGAGGAACCTTGTGTGCAAGTCTTAACAACAGACTGACGACGCTTGGTACAGACTTCCGAGTGATATAGCCTTAATATACACAACTGTGGCATTTAAATTCAGATTTGAAGCACAGCCAACCTCCGGCTTACGCAGGAGCTAGAGATCGCAGTTACCGTCGAAATGCTAGAACCCGAAAATAATTAAAACCTCCTTTAGGGGAGCTTATAACGGCCAAATGTAATCTTCGAACATGAAATATAACTTAAACAGACATTCTAAAACGATCCAGTATTACTTCTGTGAAATAAAAACACTATTCTTAAAAATATATTCCTAGTTACCCGTGGGCACACCTGCAGTAATTACTCTTATCAAGACGAAAACTAGATAAGTCGTCCTCTATGTTATGAAGCAACAGGACGCAGCTGACGAGCCGTCAGGAAATTTTTTGGTACCATTAAATCCTGTTCTGCTCGCCTGCTTCAGCTTCTTACCGGGACAAGACGCTTCAAATAGCACTAATTGCCTGAAGTCGATGCGCGAGGGAACAGGGTAAAGTTCCTTTTCATTATTGACAGCTATTTCCGGTGAGGTATATTGCCTCCCCTTCGTAACGCTTACTAAGGATCCCCAGGTCCAGCTTTTTTATCCATAATGTCATTGCGTATAAGGCCATGCTACAGAAGCAGGTGTTGCGGGCAGCCATAATGGTCAGTCTAGCGTCCTTGTCCAAGGCTTCGCTGCCTCATGATCACTCACTCCTTGCAGCGAGTCATTCCAGGAGCGCTGACCTGAAGCCACTCGACCGATTTCAGTTCAGGCACAGTCTCAGCTGCCCATGCGGCCACTTGAACGCACCTCTTCCCTGCAACCACAACCTAAGGCACTGGACACCCCTCCTCAGCAAGTGCAAACACACGTTGATTGGAGACCACTTGAACTTAACACACAAGCGGCTGCCACCACTACCTCAGGAACTCTCAGGCACGACTGAACGCAGTGAGCATCAACCATAGCTACGTTCTGAGTCCACACTCCCACCGCTTAGCCGATACAAAAGTACTATATTGTTTTCTGCTAATTCCCACTCGCCCGTACCGTTCTGAATAGGGCCTTTAGGTTGTCACTTATTGTCCTGCGCTTTTTTTCACTTTCTTCGCATCGCGCGAACTATATGCACCGAGACTATAGGTAATATAGTCTCTAGGGTGTATTTAGTTTAGGACAAGAAAGACGGCAATGCATCTTGACTGCATGAAATTATGCATTAAAGCAAATGGATGGAAGTACTTTTCTTCTATTGTATGTCACTTCCGCTGATGTTCTGTCCTCATTACAGGCATATATTTACATCCGATTAATCGTTCACATAATGTTCATTCAACTTTCAGCTTCTTATCCCGTTCAGCGGTATAACCCAAGGATATCGAGATATCGCTTTGAGATATAATCGCAATGTTGTGCCGATAATGCACAACACTGCATCAATTAAGTGAGAAGACAAATCTCTCGAAGCTGAACTAAGTAATAGGGCGGTTATGTTCAAAATTTTAAGTCACTCTATGGAAACGAAACAGTTGGTCTCAAATTTATTGGCGACTCCTAAAGGATGTTTTATTATCTATCTCTGCCTTTGACTGACCTTCATGAGCCAGTATTTGCAATATCCACAAAGCTGTTCAAATTACTGCATAAAACACATCTATGACTCTAGGAAGCTGAATAAGAGAAGCTGTCCTCACTGTAATAATCCCTTGTGACATTCACATGTGGGCGTGCTGCATATTAACTAAGTTCTTTGATTGTACGTGGGATATTACACAGCCTGTTTTCAGGGGAACTGGGCTGAGCATCACAAACGTGCCCTGCTACAGCTGAACCCCTATTGCTGGCACACTTGACGTCAAAAGTTCGTTTAAATCGCTACATAAAATTTCGCAAAGATTAAATTTGCTCGCCATTTTTTGCGTACTCGCCGTTTGATTTTTTTCCGTAAGTTGAAGGCGTTGTTTGAGACCGTTGCGTTTATCTCCCCCTGTATTCTTAATCTGTCCCTTATATTACTTTCTGTTCTATAAATTTAGATGTTATCATAGGCAAAGGTTTTACCAATCCCGTGCGGCTATATAATGCAGCAGCCGTTTTCTAACGATGCTGTTGGACCACAACACGACACCAAGAACCGAATCTTGGTTCAGAAAAAACTCATTCTGTTATCGCATGCAATGCAGTGCAGGCAGAATGAACAAGCTGGTCTTCTGGTTAATTGCTCCTTCCCGGCATGTGCCCCAATGAGAGAAGTGTTGTCTCACATATCGACATGTGACCGCGCTCGGGCCTGCCTTCGCCCGCACTGTGTTTCTTCGAAAATTGTGATAAACCACTGGAGAACATGTGTGAATCCAGACTGTCCCGTCTGTTCACCTCTACGGGATTCCTCCCAACACGCGCGAACCAAGGCGGATATTAGTGCCCAGAACATATCCGGTGAAAAAAATGCGAACACCTTTCCTTACGAGGGAAACAGCGCTGCACAGGCCCTTTCTCGGTCATGTAGCGCAGTTCCCGATGCAATTCCTCTAAGCCATTTGTCAAACTGTTCAAATGGCACCAGTTGGCGGAATGAGGTGAATAACGCGACACGTGAGCGCTACATCAAAAAATTGTAAGTTAAATATCGCTAACTGTATTGGCAATTTAGTTACAAGGAGCTTTTCCTGCCGAATCTGACGGTGCCGTCCGACCGAAGAGCGATCCTCATAATGGACAGGGTGAAAACCTATGAAAAGGAACTCTACACAAATTCTACTAGTAGGGAAGAATATCTTGAGAAGTTGTCCCGGTACTACCGCAGCATACAAAATGAGCTGAAAAACGCTTCTCGTAGTATCTCTAGCGGTTTGAGTAACGGAACATCCTCACCGCTGCCCTGTAAAGTAGAGCCACCGTCTTCGAATGACATGACTTTTGCTCAAGGCGGGTCGGAAGTCGTCCAGTCAGACTGCACGCACCGGAATAACTTCAATGGTGCTGAACAATTCCAGTCAAATGAGTTGGTTCAACCAAGTAATACTCTGATGAAAATTGAACCGGCCTCCGAATCACCTCAAATTACTGTTCCTACGTGCGAGACTTCGACGACTACTCAGAATTCTATTTCCGATTCGACGGCCGTTGAGGTAAAGCAGGAAGCAGTTATTACCCAAACGACTTCGGGGAAACCGCCAGTTCTTGTTAATGGCGAAGGAAGAGGACCAAAACAAGACAGATCCGTGCCTGAAATGATGTCTGGATTTTTGCCGTCGTCTCCTCCGTCCGCCGTCTCACAAAGCGCAGATTTAAAGGGGTCGAAGTGTGTATCGTGGTCTCGCGAAGAATTGTTGTATACCTTTTCGCCCTTACTCCAAGAGCTCAAACTAGAAAGTTCCGCGTTGCCGTTCCTCCAACCCGTCCAGTACAAGGAGCTCGGACTTGTAGATTACTTGAGCGTTGTCAGTACTCCCATGGATCTGTCCCTCATCGAAGAAAAATTGAACAATGGTGAATACAGGGATCCTTGGGGTGTTGTGGATGATTTTTGGCTTATGTTCAACAATGCGTGGCTGTATAATAAGAAAGCTTCCAAAGTGTATAAACACTGTTCACAGGTAATCCCGAGTTCCATGTAATATGTCTTCTAGTTGGCTGAAAAATTTGAAAGCCTAGTTGACCCGGCAATGCAATCGCTCGGTTTCTGTTGCGGCCGTGAATACGTGTTTTACCCCCATGTTTTGGCTTGTTTGACCGAAAAGTCATGTAACATAAACAGGGATGCCGTGTATTATGCCTTTGACAACTCGTAAGCACTTTTTTATGACGTAAATGGTCGTAGTGACAAGAAGAAACCAGGACTGCTATGGGACAAATACATTGTCTGTGAGAAATGTTTTCTCGAAGCTGACGAAAAAGTTGCTATAGACGATACCAACTCCACTGTGTAAGTCCACTTGCTTTTTTTACTCATTTAAACTATCAAGTTTTCTAGAAAAGTCCCTCTTCGAGAAACAGAAAAATAACATAATCGTCAAGGAAGATTTTGTCGTTTGTCGTGAATGCGGTCGAAAATGGCATAAAATTTGCGCTTGTTACATGGAAGAGATTTGGCCAACCGGGTTCGTGTGCCCCAAGTGCATTAAAGATGGTTCGCTTACTCGGCCACCGAACCGTTATACTGCGAGACGACTCCCACCCTGCAAGCTAAGTAACTACTTGGAGAAGCGTGTCAATGACTTCATGAAACGAAAAGGAAATAACGGGAGTAGCGTCATCGTGCGTGTTCTTGCAAGCGCGGACAAAACGATGGAGGTGAAGAAGTACATGCGGAAGCACTTCGTTGAGAAAGCGAACTTTCCCGAATCTTTTCCTTATCGAGTGAAAGCGATTTTCGCCTTTCAGGAAATCGATGGACAGGAAGTGTGCTTTTTCGGCCTTCATGTACAGGAGTATTCTTCCGAATGTCCTGCGCCTAACAACCGACGTGTCTACATAGCCTACTTGGATTCAGTCCACTTTTTCCAACCCAAACAATATCGAACTGATATATATCATGAAATATTAATAGGCTATATGGAGTATGCCAAACAACTCGGTTTTGCTACAGCGCACATTTGGGCCTGTCCACCGGGCGAAGGTGACGACTATATTTTCCACATGCATCCTGCGGAGCAGAAGATACCGAAACCACGTCGCTTACAGGAGTGGTATCAAAAAATGCTAAAAAAGGCGCACAACGAACGTATTGTTGCTGATTACAACGATATTTGCCAAGATTCCGGTGATGTCGACTCATTTTCACCTGCCGACCTGCCCTACTTTGACGGTGATTACTGGCCAAACACCTTGGAGGACATTTTCAAGGTTGGTCTTGATTTACTGACTTATGCAATTAAACATCAAGTCTTCAGAATGCATATTACTAGCAATGTCAATTTTTGTAACCTGTGATTACTTTATTCGTTAACTTTCACCTTGTTTTCTAAAGTGGCCTTCAATCCCGATATGTTGTTTCATAGACTAGTGATTTGCGCTACCAAAGCCATTTTGTACCTTAAATTGTAATACAAGGGCCATCCATCCCCTTCTCGTAGCGGTACTGTGCAAATACGACGTTGCCAAAATAATTCCGTCAAGATTTTCAGTTTTTATACCTAAATAGCCTAACTCTTCTTTCACAAACCCAGAGCGAATATTGCTTGTGAGTGGCCCCGCCACCCTGTCCTTTAAATTATTGCTCAACGTTATCGCTCTTCAGACACCTTAAATGCGTATTGTAGCTGTCCAATGAACAAGCTAAAGGGAGTAGATCTGTCATGGAACTTCGGCCGAACGGATGAGTTTGATGCCGTGTTTGCTGTTTCACTTCGATGCTCAGAGTTTTAGAACTCTCATCTCCCGAAAGTATTCCAACCTTGACATGTTTTTCGGCGTTCCGATTCGGCGTGGTTCTCTTTGTGGGAACAACTGCTTTTTGTAGTTACGGAGTGCGTTTTGGCCGGGTTTCTGTGTTATTTCACTTGGGAGTAAATTTCTGCATTGGACAGTCATCGCCAGCAGTGAAGTTTTTCATTGCTTACCTTCACAACATTTGGCCGGTAGCTTCGTTTTTAGACTTTTAACGGCAGAAGTCACTTTGCGGCCTCCGTCTCCTTCCTCCACCTGTGTCCTAAAAACAGATGCCATTCTTTTTTATTAGTTACTGAACGTTTTGTGGTACCGACCACAAGTAATTTGCCGTCAAGTGCTCTGTTCCTGGCCAACTAACTGTTTCATTTCTTTAGTCGGTCGAAGAGGAAGAGAACAAACGCAAACGAGAAGAGGCGGAACTGGCTAAAGGTGATGATATTGAAGACGTGGTTGACGAGGACAGCAATCATGGGGACTCCGATCGTAAACCTGGGAAAAAGAAGGCGAAGAAGCGAAAAATGAAACGCACCACGTCGGCTATGGCTCTTGGAAAACGTAAGCGCTTCAATGGCCTAGGGATTTCCGACCCAGGGTCTGAAGTCGCCCGTAAGGTGTATGAAATCATGGAGAAGAACAAAGAGACCTTCTTCGTAATCCGACTTCACCAGCCTAGTTCTGTTGCTTCCCTTGGGCCGATAAAAGATCCCGATCCTCTTATAACATCAGAACTCATGGAATGCCGTGACAACTTCTTGGGCCGTGCGCGGGAGAAGCACTTGGAATTCTCTTCCCTTCGACGCGCCAAGTACTCTACTCTGGCTTTTATGTATGAAATTCATACCGAGAATCGAAGCTCGTTAATGTACACATGTAATAAGTGTAGCAACCAAATCAGTGTGCCATGGCAGTGCGTACAGTGTGATGACTATCATCTGTGCGATTCCTGTTACAAACAGAAGAAACATCCTCATGCCATGACCCAGGTTAATGTTGCGGATGGTAATCTGAACGAAGATAGTAATGGGGCCACTGTACAGGAATCAAGCAGGAATTTAGTTGAAAGATTTGTGGAGCTACTAGAGCACACGTATTCCTGCCGCGACGCCAACTGCTATATCAAGGCTTGTCAGGGGATGAAGAAAAAACTAGAACATTTCAAACTACATCATGATTGGGCGAAGTGTCCTAATTGCAAGCATGTCTACACTTTCCTCATAGCCCATTCCAATAAATGCCACGAGACCAAGTGCCCCGTTGCCCTGTGTGACAAGTTTAAAGCTAAGAAGAAGCAGCAAGAAAGTCAGCGCAGGATGATGCAGGTTCAGCATTTGAGGCGTCGGCAGGCGACAATGCAACGTAGCAACAGCAAAACACCACAACAGCAGCCAAATACGCCACAGCCGCCGAGCGTTTCAGTTTGTCATTTGCCATTATCTCAAACGAACGTTCAACAGGCTAGCCCATCGGTTTCGCAATGCACCCCGACCTCGTCAGAGCCCCCACTTAGCTTCTCATCACAGAACTCTCTCACTTCACCCAATTCTGCACATTCTAGAAATTCTCCCACAAAGTCTACTAACACGCCATTGCATCAACCCGTTGGGGCACCGCTTGTTAGCAGTAGATCGCTACAGTACTCCCACTCCTCTCCCTACCAACTCTCAGGGCTACAAAATCCCCAGCAGCAGACGGCCCCATCGCCGGGGAATTCCCATAAGGCATGCCATTCCCAACCGTCGTCGGTAACCCAACAACAAACGCAACAGCAACAAGTCCATAGTAATCATCATCAACAACAGCAGATGTTCGTTGCCTCTCCAAACGTCTGTGATTATCAGCCGGTGCCAGCCTCCAGTGCCACGGCTGCCTCGCAACCGCCGACTTACAACGAATCGACGCAGGCCATGATTCAGATGTCCAATTCGTCATATGCCCCGCAACCAATGTTACAGCAGTACTTCCCTCGGTCTAACCTCCACTCGCCTCATGGTCTGAAGAGTTATGCATCGGCTGACCAGCTCATGGTTGCGAATAACCGGGATCAGATGCAGTTCGTAAGACAACCCCCTCAACAGAGGCCTGATGATCTGTATGCCCAAAATCCTGGTGTTCTTCGCATGCAGTCCTCTTTGGGTTATGAAGGCGTCCACACTCATCAACAGCAACAACAGCAGCAGCAACAACAACAACAGTTTATGGCTTCGCAACGGGCGCAGTTCTCGATCAATCGGAGCTCACCCTCCTTCCAGGTATCACAAGAAATTATGGACACGAGTCCAGATGTCCACCCACAAATGCAGTTTGTGTCTGCACAGCAACAGCAGCAACATATGGAACGACAACAGCATCAGCAGATGATGATGATGATGATGAGCAAACGTCATCCCTCCCAAGACGGTGGCGAAGTGATGTTGTCAGCGATGAACGAGTGCGGCGAACCCCAAGTGGCGCGAACAATGGCAGTGCCCTCACTGCAACAACATCAGCTACAGCCACAACACATGCCTCCTCAACCTGTTTCAATGTCTGGCCAGTGGAATCCTCAGCCCCAGTCAAAAATGGTGACGAGGCCCTCTGCTTCTCCGCAGGGCCAAGTCATAGGCTCCATAGCCACGCAGCACCAGCCTCAATTAGCGCCTCCGCACAACACTATCTCTCAAGAGGATCTGCGAGTAATGCAACAAATGCAGCCTGCAGGTCGTCAGAAGGCCGGACCGCTGCTGGAAGTAAGTCTGGTCTATCTACGTTGCCACACATTTACTAACGCTTTTTCGCTTTGTAACACCGGCCGAGTTAAACCGGAAACCACCTTGACAATTGGAAGTTCGCGAAGCCATCTTCACATTGAAGTTCAATTAATTCACAGTTCTGGCTGACCCTTTACTGACTATTCTGTCGCCCGCCGTAAACTTGGTAGTATAACGGGGTCAGTGTCGTTTTACGCTGACAAAACCTTTAGCTTAAATGACGGAATAACCAGCAGGTAGCGGAAAGTTAGCCAGGCCTATACCACTCATCCGTGTTGATGCGACCGTTTTGCAGCGGATGGCCGACTCAGATACTCGTTTATATTATTGCCAATGTATTGGTCACAAATCAGGGCGATAAAAAGATTTAGATGAATCGGGCCGCCTGTCGGGGAAGTAATGATTCCTCTGAATAAAATCCTTTCACATGAGACACCCAGTTGGAACCAGCGGCAGCCCACTGTTGCCACCGATACTTGCCGCACTACTTATCCACCAGTGCATTTATTCTGCGGAAGTCCGTCTCGTCCTTGAGCAACTATTTTTGTTGACTGCGTAAATCGAGCCTCATTTTAATGTTGATGATACTGCACTGGCCGACCTCAGTCTGCAACTGTTAAATAAGATCTGGGCGTTTGTGCTCTGACAAGCAGTAGGCATCAACTTGGTATCGCATTTCATTCACACACATGCCCGCGGTGTGGCGCTCTGGATATTTTCCGCGCCATGTTTCCTTTACCTTTCATAAATTCGTAAACAGAGGCATTCAAAGGTTTTGGGTAGCAAGTGTTGTATCGATCTCCCATATCCTGTTTTTCGGTTAATTCTACCCCGGAAGTCCACTTTACCACAGCCTGGCCGCCCCTAAACTCCTTGCGATCACGCCGTAGTTCTTTGGTCTTTAAAATGAAGGTCAGCGCGCGTGTGTGTGTGTCTAGGCGTATTTTGTGCATCCGCGAAATCTGTGCCCTCAACCTTGGCTTAGTGTCTTCTGCACAAATCATCACTTTGCACATTTATGTACTTTTGCTTCAATTTTTGCACTTATCGTTGCTGCCTTTTCGATTACCCATTATAGGATAATCAGCAGTGCTTCCCTCCTTGGTTTGCTAAACAGCAACAGCAGGAGCAGCAACACACGCTCCCTCAGTATTCATCACAGTGCCTGGCCACCCAGCAAATGCCGTCCCAACATGCTCCTCAGCCGGTTGTGCGAAACGGGCCATCTTCGATGCCTTACGGTAGTGGGGTACCTCCCCAACAGCAGACTCTTTCCCAAAACCTGCCCATTTCCCAGCTTCATGAGTTATCTCGTTCCCCTTTTCAAGTGCAACACTCTGCTCCAGGGTATGCACCTAAGTCGCAGCAAAGTGGATGGGCGATGACAGTCCAACACCAACAACAGCTTTCCCAGCAACAACAGCAGCATCCGCCGCTGCCACTATCGCAGCAGGCGCCACAGCTGCAGGATCGCATCCGACTTTCGCAACCAAACCCCACTGGTGCTGCATCCTATTTTGTTAACCAGACAGCCAGGCCACAGGATTACCAGTCTCTTACTTTCCCAAGGACTGCTATGAACACGGATGGATCCGTTTCTCCCGCGCCGCTGCAAAGTGTTATGCCGCAACAGCATCAGCAGTCTCAGTCGATGTCCCATGCCACCCAGTCTTCGGGTCGGCTCACTCTCCCCTCCGCTCAGACGTTCCAGAATGCGCCGCGTTACCCTGGGCCCAGTTCTCTCCCCCCATCCTCGTTGTCTTCGTGTTCCTCTTCAACTGCCCACATGCACCTTCAGATGCATCAACAGGGGCCTCCCCGTGCGCGCACTCAACTGACAGTCCAGGGCGGGCGAATGATCTCGGGTCTTTCTACTGCCTCCCCTATTGGCGGCTCGTCGGCCTCCTGCCCGATGCTCTCACAAATGGGCGAAGTCCATATGCGTTCTGGTAGTGGGCCACCTATGCAGCATGCCATGATGACTGGCAGCAGCGGCAACGTGGCTCCCTCTCGACCGCCCTTCCCCCAGCAATCCTCCGCAAGGCTTTCACAACTCCTTGACCCGGGCCAGCTACCACCGGCTCAACTGCAGCACCAGTCCTCCCCGCCTTTTCCTTCGCCCCTTCCTCACCGACTGGATTTTCTTCCACCAAAGCCCTCGGGAATGATGCCAGCAGCGCATCCTCACTAGTTTTCCACCCATTCCTTCCTGATAGGCATTCTCTTCTTCCTTCTATTCATTGGTTTTGGTTCTAAAGAGCCTGTGGGAGCAAAAATCAGAACCAGAACAACAATGTCTTGGATTTTTGTGATAAAAGACAAGACGCAGGACGGAACGCCTGGTCTTTCTTTCGCAATGTAAATCTCAATCATTTAGTTCTTTTTTCGTCCTCCGTCTGTACAAATCTTCTATTGTATGTACACATGAGGAAAAATGTACTTTTAGGCCTGAAACTAACTCTCCCTACCCCGTTTCTACTATGCCCTTCACCTCAGTTAATTTTCAGGCCCGATCCCCAACCTCTCTTCCCAGAGCTTACATCTCACCTTATTTTATTGCCGTGAACTGTGCGTCGTTATATCCATGTGCGCTTGTTCTTTTTCCATGTTTTGTGAACCCCAAAACCCCTTCCAGTTTGATTGACTTGAGCAATATCTTCGCGAAGACGACGATGATGGCAATGCTGATCAAGGTTTCCCGATCCTTTCTCGCACATAGCTGGCTAGCATGACTCGTGTATATAAAACTTCAGAATCCCGCGCTGTTGGATATTGGAGGGAGAGATTCCCCTCCCAGTCTGACCCCCTTTCCCACTTTCTGACCGCAGTGATTCTTGCTCTCCCCGCCACAACCGACCAATGTGTGACGTGTTCTCCTAGCCCCTCTATTTTGTCCACTCTTTTATGCAGCTTCCTAATCTGAATCTCTCGCAGCCAGTAAACAATGCATTCGGTCCCGTGCGTGTGTGTGTGCTTGCCTTTATGCCTATGTGCATCGAGTATGTGGGCGCGCGCGTTTTGCTGGTCTGCATGAACGCTATTTTCCATACTTTTGTAGATAACTTTAATGTAAACAATAATTCCTTGTGTGCTCGCACACATGCACATACCTACAGCGTATACTTTGCTCGACTTCCCGCCCGTTAATCGAGCTCCCCGCCGTTTTGATCGCAACTTTTGCCATGTGTTCAGCTTTATAGTTCTTCTTTTTTCAGATGATTTTGACCTACTTTGATAAGGCATAAATACTAACTTGTATCTGAATTTCTCTTCCACCACTGTTTTTGCCCGTCGGCCTACATCGCCTCCTCATAGGGTTTTTGCAGCATAACCTGTTTTTGCTGCAGCTACAGCACTTGTTGGGAGGCAGAATATCAACAGGGTGACCAGGCTGACCCTTGGTGTGTCCATTGCACTCCCGTTAGTTATTTGCTTTTCACATGTCGCACCAGTTCTAACACGGAAGTATGCGAGGTCCTTTTACCGATCTTTGGCACTGTCGCCGGTGCTTTTGGTCGCACGTATTTGCGATGACGGTAGCGGATAGATCCTGCCAACGGCATGGACATTTTGATAGACAAGTTCTTTAGGAGTCTACAAACCTGTCACCACACTGTTACTGGTTGATGCAAAGAAGGCGTCTGCTGATCTGATTCATATTCAGATCGGTGGGTAGGTACAATTTTCTGGAGATCTTCAGATGTGAAGGCGAAATTTCGAGTTCCAGGTGTATGCATAAGTGAAGAAGAAGAGTCGAGCACCGGAACACTTCGTTTATTATCCTGAGCTTTCAGACTCTTACAGGAGTCCATCGTCAGAGGTAGTGGCAGTGGACCTCAGACGAGAGCTCGGTCAATCGATTTATCGATCTGGCGCCGGCGTACAGAGCCGTTCGTAGTCACCTCCAGTCGTGCGACGTCGGTCGATGATTGGGCCTACGTGCCTTAACTGCCGCCTGTCCTGTTTCTGCCACTACCTCTGACGATGGACTCCTGTACGAGTCTGAAAGCTCAGGATAATAAAGGAAGTGTTCCGGTGCTCGACTCTTCACTGATCTTCAAATGTCTATTGTCGTCCTCGGTCGAGGACAGAGAGTTGCCAAAAGAAGTCCTAGGGGTGCGACCATTTTACTCCTAGCTGTACCGCTACCAGACTGCAGATCCCGCTGGGTGCCCGAGGGATTGTTTGGGACTTAGCGCAGCCAGTTTGAAGTAGTCTGGGTCGAGGGTGTCCGTCGCTGGAATCTGGCCAACATTTTCTCCAGACAAATATTTGTTGGATAAGTATTACAAAAAACGAAGGTCAATTGCTATGCACCTGCTGTAGCTGGTTAGCGTTTAGCGCATAACGTGCGTGTGTAGATAGTCGCTGTGAGAAATCTTGCAGGTTCAGGTAGTTTGGACGTGGATTTCTTACGCTACGGGGATTCTGTTCCATCTAGAGGTGGCCGAACCGCTCTGCGCAGCCAGTCTGTGTACTGCTGCATATCAATTACACGTGACACTCGGTCGGTTGGGATCCTTGCCAAGCGCATTGATAATACTTAAAACAGGCATAAAGCGCAGAATATATTGGCCATAAATCACTTAGTTGTGCATGAGAGGATACTGCACATAGGACACGTTACAGTTATCGCGTTCGCGTTTCTCGCGTCGATTTGGACCTTTTCAGGGGTAGCATTGTTCACATAACCTTTTCAATAGGCAGCTAGGTAAACCGCATTTTTAAATTTGACCTTTAAGTTACGGGCTTCATTACCGGGTGAATTACGGACGGTACAGTTTCGGCCTCGGCGACTGGGGTAGTAGTCAGGAACAGGATCCAGATTCACCTCTCGTTTCGAACAGGCTCCCTGGGATTTATGGGTCTTTGTGCTTCACGGCTTTATTGTTTTGCTTTCCTAGGCGAGAACTGACAGCCATCTGCGAAATTGTTATATACAATTCAATTCTGTTGGCCTCAACCGCGAGTAACGTTCCCGCTAGCGAGCTCCTGGTGCAGAGTGAAGTTTACTCACTGAAGTACGTCAGAGGTGCTTGGCCATAACAAGCGTTACGGCAGTGGTCGACTCTCTGTCCAAGGAGACCGACCAGACGATAGGGCGAGGGTTGTCTGCCTTCTGGACAGTCCAAGCGTGAGGGAATTGCATCGTCATCAAAGGCTACTTACGACATGAGCACAAAAATATCAGATAAGACCGTCGAGATCAGCACTAAGCCTCGGCCGACGGTGTGGCCGGCTGGCTGTATCGGCTTTCAGAGACGGATCAATCTATTTCTCTGTCCACCTCAACAATTTGAGACGACCACGGCGCAGTAATGGCTTTGTTGGCAGAACATCGGTGGGGGAAGCGTTTGTCTAATTCTTGAGTCCTGCGGACTCGCCGTCCTCAGGTCTCACCCGGCGCCCGAGTGTATCTACTGCAGGAGCGGTCCCTGGTGTGTTAGAAAGGCTAAAAAGCGATAGCTCACTTGATTAGGATTGCTTTTCAGCGCAAGTTTACTGGTGTTGCGTAAAATACTGGTTGACCGGTTACACTGCCGCCCGACCCTTATTTAAGAAGTAGAGACCATACAGACGGACTGGGTGGACTTTGCCATTTTGCCGATCATCAAGGATGGCGGCAGGGTCAGTTCAGGGGCAGCCTCCCTCACACTGCCGCTACATTCCTCGCCGTGTTCCTTCTCAATCGCTTCCACCTGTACTGTGACGTGCAACAAGAAATAATGATGCATCCCCAAACCCCATTTAATATACAATTTGCTCTTCTGGGCCAGTACAGTTTTTGACGAGACCCTTTATCCTATAAAGTTCTGACTATGATGATACTGCACGCGCCTGAACTGGAGCCCTTACATTTCTAAATACCCAGTGCACGATTTGCTGACTTGCCGATACCCACATTTTCGGTCCAGCAGCTCGTATTAACGTAACGGCTAGCGCAAACACGCTAGACTCGCATCATACTTTTGCGTATGCCGCAAACAGTGCTGGCGAATGCCAGTTGTGTTGCTCGTCTACTTACAGTTAACGAGGCTAAGGTTATATTTCCAGGACTGTTTACTTCTTCTTACTTCCTACAGAGCGTTCTAATTTCATTTTCAACGTGACATGATTAACCATACGCTGTTTAGACAAACATTTCAGAATCAGCAACATCAAGGAAGCTTTAACGATGCCCGCTAGTAGAAAAGCCGCCATCTAAAGCGACCTCCTCTAGCGTGCTATAACGTAGTTTCGAGTTTCTGACGTAACGCAGCGCGCTCGTTTGCGCTTGCTTGCGTGCGTGCGTCGGTGCGAGCAAGACGTCACGTAAACGTGCTAGGTGCTTGAGTGATGCTGATTGGCCAACAGCGCGTTGGAGAACAATGCCAAATCGATTCGATTTAGTCAGTGAAACGTCAACTGGCTGCGCGTGCGAACGAAAGTCCACATATGTGAGCGCCGGTTGTGGCTAGCAAGCAAGAAGAGGAACTCTCCGAAGTTTCTTCTCATGAAGGTCACGTGCTACATGATACTCGACCCATTTGAAAAAGCATCTTCATTCCCGATTGTCTGGTCAAGTTACAGCAGGGCTGCGACCTGCCCCGTCTGGCAAGCCTATAGCGAATCTGCGTCTTTATCTCTGTGGTGCTCGGTCTTCCACCAAGCAGTCCGGATCAACCGCCTCATGTGTTCCCACCGTACGTCTAGCCTACGCACTGACAGTTGCTCGCAGTTGTTTTTCTGGGAAGGCATTTGTAATTGTGCTTGCGATCACACAAGGAGGCCTTGCCAAAATGATAAGCTTTCAGGATCATTGAGGTGTACTCTAGGACATGCCTCGAGAAACAAGGAGTAGAAGTTTGGATTTTCTGACGTAAATGTGGCTCTTTTGAAGGGGTTGCGACACGATCTCCCAAGACGAGTTTTCTTACGAGAGGAGATTGTCAGAGTGCTCGCGAGGGAGCACTTTATTAAATATAATCGTGATTTCACAGGAGAACTAAACTAGTCGTCGAATCATTTTGACTTCAGGGGTTTACAATCCCAGTAGAAGTAGCAATTCTACTCGAGATAAGGACAGCTGTGATTCTTAAGAAACAAACAGATAAATTAGTTTGGCCAAATTGTGAAAAACGCGATGGTCTTGGTGGAATTCGAACCTACGACAGCAAGGACAAGGCTTTTGTACAGCTAAAACACTAACCC